CTCCTCTGCTCATTACCCATGCTACCCTCTTCGCTGCTGTTTCCTGAATTCAAATCACAGCCAGGAGTGGGGTAGGGCAGGTCCCGATCTCCCATGGGCCTGTGGGATCAGCACATTCATGGTCCACACTCACCTCATAGATGGGAACAGCTGCCCAGGGGCCAGGCAAGGGTGCCTGAGTGGGAGACAGAGAAAAAGGACATCAGGGACAGGCATGGAAGAGTTTGTTAAGGACTAGGGGGCAGTGCAGAGCACAGTCTGGGAGACTGGGTTGGTACTGCTCAGAGGAGTGGCACTTGGTGCACAGTACAGGTAGGCGGGAGGAAAGGAGAGGATGTGATGTGTAGAGTTAAGTGGGTGGCTGAAAGAAGAGAAAGAAGAGAGAGAAACAGAAGCCAAAAAAAAAAAAAAAAGCAAAAAATGAAATAAAAAAAATAAAAAGAAAAAAAGTAAATTAAAATGACAGTGTGGTAGGATTTGCTGGGTGGGAGCGGGGCACACCTGGCTGTGTGCTGGTGGCTTTTTGGCTGAGTGGTATGGCTCAGCCTGCTGAGAACGGATATGGGTGGCACATGGGGCTAAGTGGGTGGGAAAAACGAAAGGAAAGAGGGGAAAGAGACAGAAGAAACCGGCAATCAAACAAATAAAACAACAACAACACCAATATATGGCAGTGGGGGAGCCAGTCATTAGGGGCAGGACAGAATTAGGATGGCAGCGAGCTGACATCTCTCTTGCCAGGTGGCACAACAAGGCCCTTCAGGAAGGGGCAGAGGCAGTGCAGGGCATAGATGGGAGGGAGAAGGAAAAGGAGAAGAAGTTAAAGAAAAAAAATTGGTGCTGAGGGAGCTGGCCTTTGGGGGTGGCCCAAACCCAGGGAGGGTGCCAGAGGCTGTCCAGCAGAGTGGCACAGTACAGCCCGCCAAGAAGTTGGGGGTGGTGCACGGGGCTGGGTGGATGGGAGAAAGGAAAGGAAGGGAGAGAGAGAGAAGAAACAACAACAAGAACAAAAACAACGAACACTAAATAAATAAATAAAATGACACTGAGTGAGCTGGTTGATAATTGTGGTGACTCTCTGACCAAGCTGTGCAGTATGTCACCTCTAGAAGGTGTGGAGGCTGTGCACAGGGATGGGTGGGCGGGAGAAAGGAAAGGAAAGAAAGGAGAGAGAGGAAACAAAAACAGGGAAAAAAGAACAAAGTAAATAAATAAAAAATCACAGCTTGTCAAGAATGGGAGGGGATGGCACAAGGGGCTAGCTGGGTGGCAGAAAGGAAAAGAAGGAATGGAGAGAGAAAGAAGCAACAACAACAAAAAAAGTCAAAAAATAAAAATAAAAAACAAACAAAAATACAAACAAATCACTCTGACGGGGCTGGCCAGCGGGGGCGGGGTGGACCCTGGTGGCAGTGAGCTAGTGTCCCTCCAGCCGAGCAACCATGGCCCATTGGAAAGCAGCAGAGACTGCATAGAGGGAAGAAGGACGGGGGGTGTGAAAGCGTGTATCCCTGGTTACCAGGTGCTCTGTCTCCTGCTGGAAACTCCGTGGTGTTGCCTTCCCGTACTCCCTGTCTGCTTTCTTTGGGTTCTTTGGTGGCTGTCGCCCAAGATGGCGAATCCAGCCACGTTAGCTGGTATGGGACCTCCAGTCTGTAGCTTTCCTTGTTCTCTGTTCTCTGTCAGTTTCTTATTCCATTTGGTGCTTGATTGAGTTCTTTTATTTCTTCATTTGGTGCTTAGGGTTCCAGGATTGCTGTTTGTATCTGTTTTACTTAATTTTTTTTGGTCTTTACTGCAGTGGGCCAGCATAGTGCTTCTGTCTATACTGCCATGTTGGCTCCGCCTTCATCTTTTCATAGTACTTTGTTATGATCATTTTTATTTCAGTTGGGTCTGTTGTAATGTCCCCCATTTCATTTCTTATTTGGGTTATTTGCATCCTCTCCTGTTTTTCTTTTGTCAATTTGGCCAATGGTTTGTTGATTTTTTTGCTCCTTTCAAAGAACCAACTTTTGGTTTCGTTCATTCTTTCTATTGTTTTTCTATTCTCTATTTCGTTTATTTCTGCTCTGATCTTTATTATTTCCTTTGTACTGGTGGATGTGGGCTTCTTTTATCTTTCTCTTTCTATTTGTTTGAGTTGTATAGTTAATGTTTTGATTTTGTCCCTTTCTTCCTTTTTGATGTGTGCATCTATTGCTATAAATTAACCTCTGAGCATTGCCTTTGCTGTGTCCCAGAGGTTTTGCTATGAGGTAATTTTATTCTGGTTTGATTCTAGGAATTTTTTATTTCATCTATTCTCAGTGGTTTTTAAGCAAGATGTCATTCAGTTTCCATGTATTTGATTTTTTTCCTTTGCTCTTTCTGTTATTAATTTCTACTTTTATGGCATGGCATTGTGATCAGAGAAGATGCTTTGTATTATCTCAATGTTTTGGGTTTTGTTGAGGGTTGCATTGTGGCCTAAGATGTGGTTTACTCTGGAGAAGTTTCCATGTGTGTTGGAAAAGAATGTGTATGGTGCTGATGTTGGGTGGAGTGTTCTGTATATGTCTGTGAGGTCAAGTTGATTGACTGTGGCCTTTAGATCTTCTGTATCTTTGTTGAGTGTCTTTCTAGATGTTCTGTCCTTTACTGAGAGTGGTGTGTTGAAGTCTCCTACTATTATTGTGGAACTGTCAGTTTCTCTTTTCAGTGCTGTTAGAGTTTGTTTTATGTATTTTGGAGCCATGCCATTGGGTGTGTAGATATTTATTAAGGTTATGTTCTCATGGTGCATTGTCCATTTAATCATTATATAATGTTCTTCCTTGTCTTTTATGGAGGATTTTGTTTTAAAGTCTATTTTATCTAAGATTAATATTGCCACTTGTGCTCTTTTTTGGTTCCTGTTTGCTTGATATATATTTTCCCATCCTTTAATTTTTAATATATTTATGTCTTTGTTTCTAAGGTGTGTCTCTTTTAGACAGACATCAACTCACGGCAGTCTGGATGTGCCATCTTGAGCCTCATCCACCAAGGACTGCAGACAGGGAGTATGGGAAGGCAACTTCACGGAGCTCTCAATACAAGACAGAGCACCTGGTAACCAGGGACATACACTTCCCACCCCTACTCTTCTTCCCTGTAAGAGGCCTCTGCCACTTTCCAACAGGCCATGGTCACTCAGCAGGAGAGATACCAGCTCACTGCCACCTAGGTACACCATGACCTCACGGCCGTCTCTTTCAGTACCATTTTTTTTTGTTTTTGTTTTCGGCTTTTTTTTTTGTTTCTTCTCTCTCTCTCCCATCCTTCTTCCCCTTTCTCCCACCCAGTTAGCCCTGTGTGCCCTCAGCTACCCTTCTTGATGGGCTGAGTCAATGACACACAGCCTTCCCAAGTCTTCCGCACTCCCATCCACTGAATCCTACCACACTACCATTGTATTTACTTATTTTCTTTCATTTTTTGCTTTTGTTTCTCTCTCTTCTTTCTCTTACCCACTTAGCTCTGCACATCACATCCTCTCCCTTCCTTCCTGCCTATAGGCACTGAGCGCCCAGTACCATGCCTCCAAGTGGCACCACCCCGGTACCCTGACCCCACCCTGCACTGCACCCTCGACCTGCCCTGTTGGCCCCAGTTTGTGCTGCAAACAACCCATCCCTGTCCCTCCCCCCTCACTGGAGCTGCCCTGCTGCACTATAGGCGAGTGACCAGCCCTGCCTGCCTGGACAAGATGGTGAGAAATACCGTGCCCACAGATAAGCAAACAAAAAAACATGCCAAGCACCCCTGCCCAGACATAACCAAATAAAATAGGATGAAACAGATCTACAATCGATAAATGAAGAAAATAATTCCTGACTGTCCCAGAGACAGCAGACATTATCAAAACAGAAAAACAGGACAGAATGGCTTCAGAAAGTGACCAAAATAAAACAACAGATGACCCTCAGGTAGAAGAAAAGGCACTGGAACTACCTGATAGGGAATTCAAAACTCTAATATTCAAGGCTCTCCAAGAGATGATGGAAAATACAGACAAAAATAAGGAAAAAATAGACAAAATCATGGAATATACAGACAAAATCAGGGAAAATACAGACAAAGCATGAAAAAATTCAGGAAAATAATACCAAAAGAAAATGTCAAAATAAATAAACAGCTAGAAATTATACAAAAACAGCAATTAGAAATCCAAAAGATAAACAGCAAGATTTCAGAAATGCACAGAGCAATGGACAGTTTTAGGAGCAAATTTGAAACAATGGAAGACAGGATCAGCGAAACTAAAGATAAATCCTTGAATACTACTGTCTTAGTTATCTAGTGCTGCTATAACAGAAATACCACAAGTGGCTGGCTTTAATAAAGAGAAGTTTATTCTTTCACAGTCTAGGAGGCTAGAAGTCCCAATTTGCGGTGCCGGCTTCCAAAGAAGACTTTCTGTCTCTGTTGGCTCTGGGGGAAGGTCGTTGTCATCAATTTTCCCCTAATCTAGAAGCTTCTTAGTACAGGAACCTTGGTTCCAAAGGACGTACTCTGCTCCCTGTGTTGTTTTCTTGGTGGTATGAGGTCTCCTTGTCTCTCTGCTTGCTTCTCTCTTTTATATCTCAAAAGAGGTTTACTTAGCATACAACCTAATCCTGTAGATTGAGGCCTGCCTCATTAACATAACTTCGTCTAATCCTACCTCATTAAGATCATAGAGGCAGGATTTACAACACACTGGAAAATCACATCGTGTGATAAAATGGTGGACAATCACACAATACTGGGAACCATGGCCTAGCCAAGCTGGCAGATATTTTTGGGGGACACAATTCAATCCATGACAACAATTTTGAGGAAAAATCAGAGAAAAGAATGGAAAAAATGAAGAAGCCCTGAGAACGATGTGAGATACAATCACAAGCAAAAATTTGTTTGTGTTTGGAGTTCCAGAACAGGGAGAGAGAATGGAAAACACAGACAGGATCATTGAAGACTTGCTGAGAGAAAACTTCCCTCATGTCATGAAATATGAAAAGCTGACCATCCAAGAAGCTCAACGAACCCCATATAGGTATATTGTCTCTTGACTGCTGTGGACAGGCACTGAGGTATTAATTGAGTTGATATTACTTACGCTGAAATTTTATCATTGTGTTCTAACCTTTCCCGTTTGTACCGGCTGTAGATTAAAGGATCTGCTGGGGGATTATGGGGAAGTAGAAGAACATCATTTCCCTCCATAGCACTGAACAACAGTCATTGAATAGAGTTGGGCTCTAGATGATCAGCGGGCTTCAGAAAATTAAAAGTAAGTTTAGGAGGGGAGAGAGAGATAATAGTCAGCATTCGGACAATTGTATTGGGATGGAAATTGGGGCTCCTTTCTGAGCAGGTCTCTTTCAGCCATTGGACATGGAGTGTGTGTGCTTCCCAAGGTCAGCATTACTTCAGCATCTTTGAACCTGTAATTTCCTCTTTTCCTAATACTCTCTCCCTTGTGTCTACACAGGCTCACTCACTGATTGCCCTCAGATAAGTGCTCACACTCAGTGTTATGCTTGGAAGGTGCTTTCCCTGACACCTCATGTACAGGCCCACTGTCTTCACTTTCTGACCTTTACTGCTCTGTGTCCTCCACGATGCTTATCAACACCTGACATCACATGCAAATCTATTTGCCTGTCTGTCTCCCTCTCCCCTGGACATGAGTAACATGAGGGCAGAGGCTTGTCTTGTTTTGTATTGTATCCCTAGTGCCTAGACAGGCATGCAAATACTTGGGGGGTGAATCAGTAAAGTTTCCCAGGGCCCATCCAAGTCCTGGTGTTTATTTGCCTATTTCTGAATTTGGTAGGTAATGGCAATAGTTTCAGGGGTTTATTCAGCCTCCATGGTTCCAGAAAGTTTGCAGTCTATGAGAATTTTAAATTCTGTTCTATATTTTCCCCCTTTTGGTCAGGATTCTTCTGTAGAAAGTTTGATCAAAATGTTCAGTAAAGGTAGCTGGGCACCGTCCAGTTCTTCTGGTTTCATGGCAAAGGAGGCAATTGTTCATGGAGGTAATTAGCCACACATTCCATATCATCCTTCTATTCCTGACTCTCCTTCTTGCTCTGTTGCTCCAGGCAAATAGAGACCAATTAGCATGCCTTGGATGGCTGCTTGCAAGCTTTTTAGACTACAGGCATTATGCAACAAACTAGGAGGTAGAACAGAAGCAATAAGCATGTTATTAGGCCAGTTAACTGGAATGTCCCATGAAACCATTATCTTAAACATCCAAACAAAGGAACTAAATTCCGTGAGGTTTTAGTACATGAGCAGCCTCAGTAGCTACCTTTTATTTTCCTTCTGGTAAATGTATCTATCACATAACTTTTGCCAGTTTAAATTTTTGCAGGTGTACAACTTATTGACAACAATTACAATAATGGGCAACGCTACCCTTAATTAATGTGATTTTTCTGTCACCGTTAACTCCCTTTTCTAGCACATAATCTCCAAGGTTATGGCAAATTCAAGGACAGGACTCAGTGGGAAGGAGTGAGTGTGCTCTGAAGAGGTAAGTTTAAAAAAAGTCTTGGTCATGAAAAGAGAGGCATGGGGAGGTTCTAGCAACTCTCTCCCAATGTTGGCTTTGCCAAATGTCAATGACATCTATTGACATGAAGGGAGGAGCTGTGATCAGGTAACCTAGAGGTGCAGCTTTAGGGAGTGAAGCAGTGAGGGTGGGGGCTTCTTTCCTTTTCCCCTGAAGGTTAAGGGATCTCCTCGTGATGGGGATGAGAGGGGCTTGGAAAAAATACATCAGCAGTGCAGTGAGCGGGACAGGTTGCATTACTTGTTTTTTACTGTTTCTGTGGCTGTTGGGGATGGGGATGTTGAAGTTGGTTAAATTATTATAAAGAACTAGGACCTCAGATATGAATTATCCTTTTGACAGTAAGAGCAGGGTCAGATGGAAGGTGGAAGAGGGAGAATTATTTAGTGCCTTCTTTGTTCTGGACATTGTGCTGGGTGCTTGACATATGTTGTTTAATCCCTTCAACTTTCCTTAAAGGTAGGTAGAAAACCTACTTTACAGATGACAAAGATAAGAGTCAAAGAGGTTAAGTTAACTTGTCCAAAGTCACAGAGCTACTAAGAGACACAGCCAGGATTCAAACACAGGGTGAGGATAATTCCAAAATCCACCTTCTTGCTATGAGGTAGATTCATGGGAGTAATTAACCAATACTTCTTTGTTGCTACATTGAGAAACTTTGACCCAAACTTAATCTCATATTTGTGTCTTCAAGGTTAACTCATTCTAGAGTTTTTGCTTAGGTGGCCTTAGGTTATCTTAATGGTGGTGGAATGATTTGGAAAAGGATAGGGAGAATGGTTGTACAACTTGAAGAATGTAATCAATGCCACTGAATTGTACATCTACAAATTGTTGAGTTGGTGTATATTTTGTTATGTATATTTTCACCACACACACACACACACACACACACACACACACACAGAAAGAATAACTCATTTCACACACAGACATTTCCAAGAGAAAATGAGTCAGTGAAACTGGCTATGCTTACCGTGTTAGGTGAGTTGTCAGAGTGGCCCTGACCTGGGGAAGCAAAAGAAGAGTTTCAAATCCATGAAAACGCTGAGCTGACTTACAGCCTTAGAACAGCAGTGTTTCTAGGCTGGTGTGATTTCTAGCTGAAGGTGGAGGCAGGTGGTGGTGGTAATAAGGAGTGGGAGTGGCACATGATCAGTTAAGGAATTTCACTTCCCTCAGAGTCTGTGGTCCAGTAGCATTAGTGCCACAACAGGGGCAGAAATAGAGCCACAGGAGGCCTCAGTCAACTTCTGAAGATTTCTACCAGTTCACCGGTCTTGATTTTTGCCCAGATGAGTTCTCAGGAACAGGATCCAGAGGCAAGGAAGGGCAGTGAGACCCAGAGCACCCACAAGACAGGAAAAATCTCACTAAGGGAGAGTGCCCACATCTATAATAGAGACAGGAGGGGAAGGAGTAAGGATGAGGAAATGGCTCCTGGAAACATGTCCATGTTACTCAGGCCTGCTTGGCCTGGGCAGAGTGAGCATCGCTCCTGGGGCTGTGTCTCAGGGGAAGTGTTATGGGTTGAACTGTGTCCCCCAAAAATATGTGTTGTAAATCCTAGTCTGTATGCCTGTGTTATAATCCCATTTGGTGAATGGGTTGTCTTTGTTATATTAATAAGGCAGGATTAGTGTAAAGTGTATCCTGAGTTACTCTGTTTTGAGATATAAAATAGATTAAACAAACGAGAAGAGCAAAGATGGAGGGAGAGAGATGCCAAGCCACATGAAGATTGCCTAGGAGCAGAAGCTCCAAGAGACAAGGACTTTCCTCCAGAGCCAGCAGAGAGAAAGTCTTTCCTTGGAGCCATCATCCTGAATTCAGATTAATAGCAGTGGTTAAGAACTCGGCTGCTATCACAAAGGTTGGCAGTTTGAATACACTGGCCGCTCCTTGGAAACCCTGTGAGGCAGTTCTACTCTGTCCTATAGGATCTCTATGAGTCAGTATTGACTCGACGGCAATGCGTTTGGCCTTTTTTGGTTAAACTGTGAGAAAATAAATTTCTGTTTGTTAAAGCCACCCACCTGTGGTATTTCTGTAATAGCAGCCTTCAGACTTCTAACCCCTAAACCGAGAGAAAGTAAATTTCCGTTTGTTAAAGCCACCCACTTGTGGTATTTGTGGTAATTCTGTCTAGATAACTAAGATAGAATTTGGTACCGAGGAGTGGTGGTGCTCCTCTAACCAAACCAAAATAAACAAAACCCACTGCTGTTGAGTTGTTTCTGACTCATAGCGGCCCTATAGGACAGAGTAGAACTGACCTATAGGGTTTCTAAGGCTGTATGGAAGCAGACTGCCACATCTTTCTTCAGGGAGCTGCTGGTGGGTTTGAACCACAAGCCTTTCAGTTAGCAGTTGAGTGCTTTAACCACTACGCCAAGAGGGTTCCCATTGCTGCTGTAACAAATACTTAAAAAATTGGAAGTGGTTTCCGAATTGGGTAAGGTTTAGAGGTTGGAAGAGTTTTAAGGTGCCCAATAGTAAAAGCCTAGATTGCCTTGAAGAGACAGCTGGTAGAATTATGGACGTCAAAGGCAATTCTGGTGAGGGCTCAGAAGTTAAGAGAGCTATAGAGAAAGTCTCTATCATCTTAGAGAATACATATGGCATCAGCAACAGAATGTTTCTAGAAATGTGGACGATAAATGTGCTTCTGGTGAGACTTTAAAATAAAATAATGAACATGTGATTGGACAATGGAGCAAGGGTGATTCTTTTTAGGCAGTGGCAAAGAACTTGTCTAAATTATGTTCAAATGTTTGGTGGAAGGTAGAACTTGTAAGTGATGAACTTGGATATCTGGCTGATGAGATTTCTAAGCAAGATCTTAAAGGGGCTGTGTGGTTTCTCCTACCACTTATAGTAAAATGTGAGAGGAAAGAGATGGACTTAAAAATGAACTGTTGCGGTGTGATAGATCACTGCTGTATGGCCTTTCTCACCATGGTCTTGTAACTCCCACCCAAGTGATTGGGCAGGACTGTGCAGATAAGGTAACTGTGACCCGTCAAAGCGATTGGTCTGTTTTGCCATCCAGCTAGGCTTAAAGTGAGCCATTCTAGAGATGAGAAAGAGGATTTCACCACCACCAAAGAAGAAGAGCCAAGAATGGAACACATCCTCTGGACCCGGAATCCCTGCACTGAGAAGCTCCTGGAATCAGGAAACCAAGAGAACAAGAACATAAACACTGAAGACAGCAAGAAGTGGTGGCAGAGAAACAGCAGCAGGAGACCTTGGCAGGAGAGGCCCACAGGAGAGACCTGCAGGAGACAGCACAGTGGACTTTCCAGTTCACTGAGTGAGAAAACAGAGTGCCTTTGGATAGGAGGTTTGCTGGAGGAGTAGGCTGCCTCCAGGCACTTGGCAGAGGTACATTTGCAACCCACAGAGCTAGAGCTGAGTGCCTTCAGGCTGAGGCAAACTGGCGGAGTGGGGGTGCCTTGGGGCACTTATCAGCAGAGCTAAAAGAGTTTTGTAATAGCTTCTCTAGCAAGGCAAAGGCTGAGGGGCCAAAGAGAAGCATGTCTGTGAGGACAGCTGAGAAGAGGCTGTACTGATGGAAGAACTGTATCCTGAGCATTCTTTAACTTGAACGGTAACTTGTTACTTCCCTAATAAACTCCATAATTGTGAGTGTGGTCTGTGTGTTCTGTGTGGCTTTTCAATGAATTATCAAACCCAGCAGAGAAGCAGACAGTGCTGTGGGAGGGATGGTTGATGTCAGAATTGGTAAAGACGGTGGAGAGAGGAAGCGTGTCTGACCTCTGCCTCATACTAATCAGCCTTGGGCTGTTGATATTGATTCTCCCTTCTGTTGTCAAGTCAGAGGAGGTCAGATGCCACCTTCATGCCATTTTTACTGTTGGCATCAGAGATGGGATTTGTAGCAGTGGCTCCAAACTCATGGAAGCATGGGACTTGTAAGAGAGAGAATGAAAGGGCTTTTGGGAAGTGAAACTTTTTAATCTTAGATAGTCACTTTGGTCGTTGTTAACTGTAATGGCTGAAAGGAAAAGTTATGCTTCAGCTGAGGGGATAAAAGCTGATTCTGGAGCATGGGAAGTAGGACCTTCTTGGTTTCAAGTGGTGGAGCCATAGTCTCCTGGATCTCATAGGACAGGGCCACAGCTTCCTAGGTTTCAAAGAGTCGGATGTTAGGCAACTAATTTCCGGAGTGTGGTGCTGCTGTTAAGGTGTGCTGGGGATGGGGCCTCTGACCAAAGCTGAGAGGTTGGGGCTGCCATGCCCAAAGAACAGAAAAAACGGGGCTTTCAGGCTGAGAGGTTGAGGTCTTCACTCAGATGGACTAGGAGAATGGGGCCTCCCAAAGCCAAGGGAAAAATGTTGCCATTCCAGTGGGCCTGGAAGGTGGAGCTGAAACCCAGGGCCGAGGCACCTCCACCCACAGTCCAGAAAGCATGGACAGCAACCAAACTCTGAGGGCAGGGCCAGAAGGTCTCAGAGAACAGAGGATTATTTTCAAGACTTGAGAGCTAATGTAAATTGTTCTGCTGGGTTTTGCATTTGCTTGATGCCCATTATCCCTTCTTTTTCTTTAATTTCTTGCATTTGTAATGGAAATGTCTACGTTGTGCCTATTTCACCATTATAGCTTGGAAACAGATAACTTGTATTCCAGATTTCACAGGTTCACAGATGAAGAAGAAAATTGCCCTAGGATGGAATATGCCTGAAGTCTCACCCATATTTGGCTTAGATGATTCTGAAGATGAGATTTTGGACTTGGAGTGGATTTAAGACTTTTGGGATGACGCTTTGAGGTGAATGTGTTTTGCATGTGGCACGGACATGGATTTTTGGGGGCAAAATTATGGAATGTTATGGGTTGAATTGTGTCCCCCCAAAGTGTGTTGTAAATCTTAAACTTTATGCCTGTGGTTATAATCTTATTTGGAAACGGGCTGTCTTTTTTATGTTAATTAGGCAGAATTAGCATAATGTGTGTCATGAGTCAATCTCTTTTGAGATATAAAAGACATTAAACACACAAGCAAGCAAGCAGAGATGGGGGAAGAGAGATGCCAAGTCATATGAAGATTGCCCAGGAGGAGAAGCCCAAAGACGGCCTGTAAAGAGAGAGCCGGCAGCTTGAATTCAGACTTCCAGCCTCCTAAACTGTGAGAAAATAAATTTCTGTTTGTTAAAGCCAGCCACTTGTGGTATTTGTGGTAATTCTATCTAGATAACTAAGAGAGGAACCTTTTGAGATGAGGAAGGGTGTGAACACCTACACTAACTCACCGTTGAGAAACAGAGATTTCTCTGTAAAAATTCAGAAGGCAGGGAGTGGTTTGGGAATCTAGGATTCTCTGCTAGGGCAGGGCATGTGGTGGATCTCACCAGCTTCCACTGGGTGAGTGGCTTTACTTACTGTAGTTGGTGCTGAGGATTTGTGCTCTGTTTGGTTGCTCTGGTGGCTTGCCCTAAATAAATATCAGACACTGTGACTGCTATTCCCAAGCATAGGTACTTTGCTCCCTGAATTAGGAAGGACATTTTCAGTAGATAACTCCTCAATGTTCATTTACTTCATGGTTGATACTACCTTTCCTTTAGGGCCTTGTTTTTTCAAGCTATCCACTATCCCTTCTAGTGTTGACACCTTTCCTTTTGCTAAATGTGCACATTTGTTGTTGTTGTTGCTGTTATTATGTGTCCTCGAGTCAATTCTCAACTCACAGCAACCCCATGTGACAGAGTAGGGCTGCTCCATAGGGTTTTCTATCTTACAATCTTTATGCAAGCAGATTGCCAGGTTCTTCTCCTGCAGAGCCACTTGGTGGGTTCTAATGACCAACCTTTCGGTTAGCAGCCTAGTGCTTAACCGTTGAGCCATGAGGGCTCCTTAGATGTGCACATTTAGGTCCATTCTTTATCACCTGCTTCTGAGCCTACTTCTACCCTTTTGTTTTCCCAAGGAGCACATACTGTTTTTTCCCTCACTTTATTTATTGTCAAGAGGCCTTTTGGTTGTGTCTGCTTTCTTTTAGATTCAGTTTCTGTCCTATCCCTCCCTCCTCTGCTACTTTGGTCACCAGAGAACCTGGCTCTTCTTCACAGGGATCAGATCTGTATCTGGATCTGGGACTCTCCCAGGCTTCTTCCACTCCTGCTCCATTATCGTCACAGGCATTTTCCCTAATAAACATCTTGCTTGTCTGATGATAACTTTGCTGCTTCTTGGGATGAAAACTAACACACCAGACTTGAAATTTTGCACTTAACTCTTTTTTTTAAATCATTTTTCTTTTTTCTTCTTTAATAGTGTTTTCCTTCAATTAAATTTCCAATGTTGATGTTGAATGTGTAATAGTTAATCTGTCTACAAGAGACACCATTCTAGTCACTATATGTTCTAAATATTTTAATCCAGACTTGGTGTAAATTCATTTTGAATTATAGAATTTTTTTTTTTACTCTTTAAAAGAATTAGTAATTATAGAATAAAGTGACTCTCACAGAAAGGCCATTTAATACTTATTTTTAAATGCTTTGTTCAGGAAGTCTTTCGAGTAAGCGGGGCCAAGATGGTGGAATACTCAGATGTTTCCTGTGGTCCCTCTTAAAACAAAGAGCAGAAAAACGAGTTAAATGATTATATACGACAATCTAGGAGCCCTGATCATCAAAGACAAATTTGAGAAATGGGACTGAGCAGTGAAGGAGAGACTGTTTAGAAGTAGTGAAGAAGTGCCAGTTGTCAGGTAGCCAGCACCCTGTGGGCTGGGTCAGCTGGCGCATGCGAACTGAGGTGAGCAATAGTGCTCCGGACGCATTTCCCCACGTCAGGAGAGACTGGGTGGTGGAGAGTCTGCACAAGACTCCAGAGCCAGGGGGAAACGGTGCTGGACGTGTTAAGCGCAATCATCTAACCCCTCCAACTTTGGGACTTTCACAGTGGAGAAGTGCTTCTTTCCCCTCACCCATGCCTCTCCCCTCTCTGCTCTGATACCAGTCTGGCAATATTTCAACAGCTGTCATGACCACTAAGCCAGAACTAAGGGCTATCTGCATTCAAACCAGTGTTTTGGCTTAAAAAAAAAAAAAAAAAAACCCACTCAAGCACCCTAAGCCAGGAACTCAAGACTATCTGTGCCCAAACCAGTCTCGTAGCTTCAAAAAATCACCACTACCCCTATGCCTGAAACTCAGGGCATGCACTGCTCCTTTGTCCAGGCACTGGCATACAGGGACCATGGACTTATAATGCCCTTCACCCCTGCTTAGACCTGTGTGGGTCAATTCAACACTGCAGTCTCTCATGAATGCCAAGCCCACTAAGACAGAAACTCAAATCAGTCTCACGGCTTTAAAAACTTGCCACACCACCTAAGCTGGGAAATCAGGGCAGACACTGACCCTTTGACTAGACACTGGCATAAGGGGTTCATGGACTTGTAGCATCCTTCACCCCTGCCTAGACCTGTGTGAGTCGATTCAACAGTGTAGGTCCTCATTAGCATAGAACAACAGGGTATATACCTGAAGCCTAGTTTCAACTGCAGCAACCAAGGGGGAGTTGCAGATTCGTGACATTTGACACCACCCTGCCCATTAAGCAGGGTCCTCACCCACCCACATTAGGGACCTGAGGGTTGGTGGTATCACCCATTCCATCTAGCCACCCATGACAGGGGTCCAAGAATAAGTGGTGCCTCCCAGTCCTTACAGCCAACAGCATTGGGTGCCCAAAGTCTGGCTGCAAAACCCACCCGCCTACATGCTTTAGGGGACAGGGACAAACCTTCCACCCAGGCACTTGGGCAGCCATCAGCTCCCTGCGTTTCTCAGCATATAGCCCCCTACTGTAGCCAGATACCTGTGCCTGCTCTGAACACCCCTTTACAGCCCTGCCCGTCTAAGACAGTAGGTGAGAGTCTGCACCACATGATCAGTGACCGATGACCTGGATACCTGAACTGAATCTTCACAAGAAAAGTGAACAGACTCCTGGGCTCACACACTTAGTAGGTGCTCTAACCACCTGGCCACAGAAAGTAAGAGCCTCAAAGATGTCGATAACCAAAGTAGCTCACATGTCCAGTCTACTTGGACGTATCAAAACAAAAAGCTAGGACACTATAAACAAACATGCAATAAATAAATACAATAAATTATTGATGGCTCAGAGACAATGGTCAATATCAAATCACAGAAAGAATCAGATCAAGATAGCTCCAGCAAGCGACCAAAACGAAGGACTAGGAAACCTTCCAGAGGAAGAGAAGGTCTTAGTATTACCAGAGTTAGAATTAAAAAGATTAATATACAGAGCTCTTCAAGAGATCAGGAATGAGATCAGGCAAAACTCGGACCAATGCAAGGAACACAAAGACAAAACAATAAAGGAATTCAGGAAAACAATACAAGAACAGAACTACAAATTTAACAGTCTGCTAGGAACCATAGGCAGCAAAAAAGATTAACAATAAAATTTCAGAATTAGACAACTCAATAGAAGATCATAGAAACAGAATTGGGGCAATGGAAGTCAGAATTAGTGTGACTGATGATAAATCCCTTGACACCAATTTATTTGAGGAAAAATCAGATAAAAGAATTTTAAAAAAGAAGAAACTCTAAGAATTATGTGAGTCACTATCAATAGGAAAAATCTACGAGTGATTGGAGTACCAGAACGGGGGGATAACAGAAAATGCAGAGAGAATTGTTGAAGATTTGCTGGCAGAAATCTTCCCTGATATCATGAAAGATGAGAAGATATCTACCCATGGAGCTCAACAAAACCTACACAAGGTAGGTCCCGAAAGAAAGTCCCTAAAACATATTATAATCAAACTTCCCAAAACCAAAGATAAAGATCGAATCTTGAGAGCAGCTAGGAATAAACGAAAAGTGACCTACAAAGGAAAGTCAGTAAGACTAAGCTCCGACTACTCAGCAGAAATCATGCAGGCAAGAGTGCAATGGGATGACATATATAAAGCCTTGAAGGAAAAATGTTTTCCAGCCAAGAATTATATATCCAGCAAAACTGTCTCTCAAATATGAAGGTGAAATTAAGGCATTTCCAGATAAACAGAAGTTAAGGGAATTTGTAAAACTCAAACCAAAATTGCAAGAAATATTAAAGGGAGTCCAGCTAGAGAACCAACAATATCAGACAACAACCCAAGACTAGAACACAGGACAGAACAACTAGATATCAGCCCGAATAGGGAAGTCAGAAAAATAAGTCAAAGTTAAAAGACTGAAAATAGGGAAACAGAGACGTCAATATATAAATGATGACAACATTAAAACAAAAAAGAGGGACTAAATAGTGTAGTCATAGAACTTCCGTATGGAGAGGAAGTCAAGGTGACATCAAGAAATAAAAGATGGGTTTAAATTTAGAAAAATAGGGGTAAATTTTACATTAACCACAAAGGAAATTAACAAATCTACCCATTAAAATAAAAAAGAAAAAAAATATAAAGACTCAGCAAACACAAAATCAACAGTAATGAAAAAGACAAAAAGAAAATATTTAAAGAAAAATGACTCAGCACAGAAAAGTAAGTGGAACAAAGAAACTGTCAACACCACAAAAACAAAACACACACAAAAAATAAAAATGACAGCAGTAAATGCATACCTATCAATAACTACACTGAATGTAACTGGACTAAATGCACCAATACAGAGAGAGTGAC